AATACTTATAATATTGTATCTAACAATTATATGGAATTGTATTAAATAATTCTGGCAAAAAAGTGGCATAAACTTTTCCAAACTTTTTTACTACTGTTTTGTGATTTTGGTTTTCCACAGGATGTTTCTTTACGATAGTCCGGTGTTGTGACTTGCCCTTTAAACCCTCTGCAATTTTCTATTCCTGGAGAGTTCACACAAATCTACACACCATTTTTCTTATGATTGAAAAGGGCACTTTGAGATTATAAACGTGTCCGATCTTGTCCTGCTCATACTTGCAGAGATATTGTCAACAGGCTTCAATTATCACAGGGAAACATTCTCATTGCACCGTTGTAGATTTCATTTAGGGTTTAATTAGTTGTTAAATTGTCTATACAAAGAGGAATCAGCTGACTGCATAAAGTGTAATTGGAAAGCCCTGCTTATTATTGGTGACAGGCTACTCAATAATGAAAAAAGAAATGGCATAACAATATCTGAATTGTCTGTGTTTTCTACAGAATGTATGTTCCTCATAGATGGCTACTTTTACTGTATATGTCTGCATGACCTTGAACCAAATACAAATGATACTTTTAAAGTAATCTATATTCAGTTTTATAATGATAACATTATCATTACTGATTGTTTTGTCGACCCAATGTTATTTGCAGTTGGAATTGTCCCCCCTGGACTGCTACCTTAACGTGGTGGGGGAGTTTGAGTACTCAGATGATCCTGGGAGCTATGCTGTCTGGGGCTTCATGCCCCTGGTAGGGCCTCCCATGGCAGACAGGTCTCAGGTGACGAGTCAGACGAAGCGCAGTCCAAAAACCACCATGGATCGCACTATAATGAGAGCAGTGACGTCGCCCGGCATGGCGCAGCCGGGGCCCCACCCTGGAGCCAGGCCTGGGGTCGGGGCTCGTATGCGAGCGCCTGGTGACCGGGCCTTAGCCCACGGGGCCCGGCCGGGCTCAGCCCGAAGGGATGACGTGGGCAGTCCCTCCTGTGGGCCCACCACCTGCAGAGGGGTCCGTGGTGGCGCGGTGCTGAGAGGACTGGGCGGCAGTCGAAGGCGGAGACCTCGGCGACCCAGTCCGCACACACAACATCTGGCTCTTGGGACGTGGAACGTCACCTCACTGGGGGGGAAGGAGCCCGAGCTCGTGGGGGAAGTTGAGCGATACCGACTAGAGATAGTCGGCCTCACCTCCACACACAGCTTGGGCTCTGGAACCCAACTCCTTGAGAGGGGTTGGACGCTCCACTTTTCTGGAGTTTCCCGCGGGGAGAGGCGGCGAGCTGGGGTGGCCATTCTCATTGCCCCCCATCTCAGCGGCCATGTGTTGGAGTTCTCCCCGTTGAATGAGAGGGTCGCGTCCCTCCGCCTCCGGGTGGGGGACAAGTCTCTCATTGTTGTGACGGCCTACGGGCCTAACAGCAGTGCAGAGTACCCGGCCTTCTTGGAGTCCTTGGGAGGGGTACTGGACGGTGCACCGCCCGGGGACTCCGTTATTCTCCTGGGGGACTTCAACGCCCATGTGGGAGTCGCCAGTGACACTTGGAGAGGGGTGATCGGAAAGAACGGCCCCCCTGATCTGAACCCGAGCGGTGTTCAGTTGTTGGACTTCTGTGCCAGTCACAGTTTGTCCATCACGAACACCATGTTCGAGCACAAGGGTGTCCACCAGTGCACGTGGCACCAGGACACCCTAGGCCGGAGGTCGATGATCGACTTTGTTGTCGTATCATCTGACCTTCGACCGCGTGTCTCGGACACTCGGGTAAAGAGAGGGGCGGAGCTGTCACCCGATCATCACCTGGTCGTGAGTTGGATCCGCTGGCAGGGGAAGAAGCCGGTCAGACCTGGCAGACCCAAGCGTATAGTGAGGGTCTGCTGGGAACGTCTCGCTGAGCCCCCTGTCAGACGGACTTTCAACTCGCACCTCCGGGAGAGTTTCTCCCAGGTCCCGGCGGAGGAGGGGGGACATGGAGTCCGAGTGGACCATGTTCTCTGCCTCAATCGCCGATGCGGCGGCTCGTAGCTGTGGTCGCAAGGTCTCTGGTGCTGGTCCCGGCGGCAACCCCCGAACCCGGTGGTGGACACCGGCAGTAAGGGATGCTGTCAGGCTGAAGAAGGAGTCCTATCGAGCCATGATGGTTCGGGGGACTCCTGAGGCAGCTGTCCAGTACCGGCAGCTGTCCAGTACCGGCAGCTGTCCAGTACCGGCAGGCCAAGCGTGCCGCGGCCCGGGCTGTTGCAGAGGCAAAAACCCGGGACTGGGAGGACTTCGGAGAGTCCATGGAGCATGACTATCGGTCGGCCTCGAAGAGATTCTGGCAAACCATCCGGCGCCTCAGGAGGGGGAAGCAGTTCTTTGCCAACACCATGTACGGTGCGGGTGGAGAGCTGCTGACCTCGACTGGGGATATTGTCGGGCGGTGGAAGGAATACTTCGAGGTTCTCCTCAATCCCCCCGTCACGTCCTCTGTTACAGAGGCAGAGGCTGAGGATGTTGGGGCGGATACATCCATCTCCCTGGCTGAGGTCACCAAGGTGGTTGGTAGCCTCCATGGTGGCAAGGCTCCGGGTGTGGATGAGATCCGCCCTGATTATCTAAAGTCTCTGGATGTTGTAGGACTGTCTTGGCTGACACGTCTCTGCAACATCGCGTGGCGATCGGGGGCAGTGCCAATGGAGTGGCAGACCGGGGTGGTGGTCCCTCTCTACAAGAAGGGGGACCGGAGGGTGTGTTCCAATTATCGTGGGATCACACTCCTCAGCCTCCCCGGTAAGGTCTACTCCAGGGTACTGGAGAGGAGGTTACGGCCGATGGTCGAATCTCGGATCCAGGAGGAGCAGTGTGGTTTTCGTCCCGGTCACGGAACACTGGACCAGGTCTATACTCTCCATCGGATACTCGAGGGTTCATGGGAGTTCGCCCAACCTGTCCACATGTGTTTTGTGGATTTGGAGAAGGCGTTTGACTGTGTTCCCCGGGGTGTCCTTTGGGGGGTTCTCCGGGAGTACGGGGTCGGGGGTCCTCTGCTGAGGGCCATCCGATCCCTGTATGACCGGAGCCAGAGCTGTGTTCGCATTGCCGGCAGTAAGTCAGACCTGTTCCCGGTGAATGTTGGCCTCCGACAGGGCTGCCCTTTGTCACCGGTTCTGTTCACTGTATTTATGGACAGAATATCTAGGCGCAGCCAGGGGTCGGAGGGGGTCCGGTTCGGAGACCACAGGATTTCATCTCTGCTGTTTGCGGACGATGTTGTCCTGTTGGCTCCAACGAACCAGGACCTGCAACATGCACTGGGGCGGTTTGCAGCCGAGTGTGAAGCGGCTGGGATGAGAATCAGCACCTCCAAATCCGAGGCCATGGTGCTCGACCGGAAAAAGGTGCCTTGCCCTCTGCAGGTGGGTGGAGAGGTCCTTTCTCAAGTGGAGGAGTTCAAGTATCTCGGGGTCTTGTTCACGAGTGAGGGAAGAATGGAGCTTGAGATTGACAGGCGGATCGGTGCAGCGTGCGCAGTGATGCGGTCGCTGTATTGGACCGTTGTGGTAAAGAGGGAGCTGAGCCGAAAGGCAAAGCTCTCAATTTACCGGTCAATCTTCGTTCCCTCCCTCACCTATGGTCATGAACTTTGGGTAATGACCGAAAGAACGAGATCGCGGATACAAGCGGCCGAAATGAGCTTCCTCCGCAGAGTGGCTGGGCGCTCCCTTAGAGATAGGGTGAGGAGCTCAGTCACACGGGAGGAGCTCGGAGTAGAGCCGCTGCTTCTCCACGTCGAGAGGAACCAGTTGAGGTGGCTCGGGCATCTGTTCCGGATGCCTCCTGGACGCCTCCCTGGGGAGGACTTCCGGGCACGTCCCACCGGGAGGAGGCCCCGCGGAAGACCTAGGACACGCTGGAGGGACTACAGTATGTCTCTCAGCTGGCCTGGGAACGCCTTGGGGTCCCCCCGGACGAGCTGGAGGAAGTGTGTGTGGATAGGGAAGTCTGGGCGTCTCTGCTTAGACTGCTGCCCCCGCGACCCGACAACGGATAAAGCGGAAGAAAATGGATGGATGGATGGATGGAATTGTCCTCTATCAGTGAATTATAGATATATTTCGGTTTTCAGGTTTCAATTAACCATACAACCAATAACACACTTTTGAATGCACTGGAAAACGGCTGCAAGAAGCTCTGAAACAGTTGTTGTTTTGTGCTTTACAATTTTTATTTTTATAAGATGTTGCTGCAGTACAGTGTTCATGGATTTACACTGGTCTAGACCAGAGCAGTGAGGATTCATGGTCCGAACTAAGCGAAACAGGCGAAAATTAACCGGAGGAATGCTAACTTTTAGAAAAATGCCAATGAAGCATGTCGCTTTTTACTTTGGACTAGAGCAGAGAAAATGGTCCAAACCAAGCGGCTTCTCCACCTTTTGACCGTCCTGCTCCACCCAGAGGCTACTCCACCTCTGCTGCTGTGACCTGAAGGGCTGTTGCTGATTATTACTATACATTATAATACAATATAGCTTTTTAGAATTATTATTATTATAATTATTATTTTTGCTGCTACTGGATACTTGAATTTCTCCTACAGGGACCAATATAGTATCTATCTATCTATCTTTCTACACTAGGATGAGCTTATGAAAGGTATTCCACCCCACCCCCACACCCCACTCCACACCCCCCTCTTCATCACTTTTTCCTCTCTCAGTGCAGTTTTTGTGCCAAACTGTCAACAACTGTGAGAGCTTCAGTTTTGGCTGTGTCTTTTGGCAGCTTCATGCATTGGAAAGGTTATGGTCAGATTATGGTCAATGTGTGTAATCAAGTGTAAAATCCAATAATACTGATCTTATATATAGATACATTTGTGGTATTGAACTAATGAAAACAGATTTATACGAGTCTTGAAAAAAATCCATGTAAACCGGTTTTCAAGTTTGTCTTGAATGTATTTGTTTGTGGAGCCTTAAACCTGACGATGCACCATGCTGTTGTGCAGGAGAGGAGGTTGTGTGCGCACCCCTTCATAGAGGTCTACAGATCCACCCAGATCCAGTTCATCGCTCCTTTGGCCCGACAGGGAGACTTCTACGTCCCCGAGGTCCGACCGCTGCCCACACACGACGAGTCCCACAGTGAATCCGATGTTTCCGGTATGTTTTTTCTACACACAAAATTGCAGGTCAAGCACATTTTCATTCAAACATTTACAGCTAATCCTTTGTCGGTGGTTTTAGTATGTTGTTTAGTTTAGTAGAGCATTGGCCTTTGAGCCTGTCGTGGGTTCGATCCCACTGCGAGACCTTTTCCACAGACTCCCACTCATGTCTGCTACCTTTGTGTCCTTGGGCAAGACACTTTTCTCCACTTTGCCTATAAAGGGCACAGAAGTAATAGTACGCTGCCTTGTAGCTCCTGTCGTAACATAATGCCAAAAACTTATTTTTTCCAAGCTGACATGAAGCTAACACAAAAAAAGCACAGAACCAGACGCAGGACAAAAGTTTTTAAGAAAAGCATATTATGTCACCTTTAAGATAGATACAGATTTTTTATAAACATGGATCAAATGATCAAATACAAGTGATACATGTAGTGAATCAAGTGTTTTTATCTTAATTTTAGCACATTTTGACTGTTTAAAAACAAGATTTGGAATAAGCAAAAATGTCTTGCTATAAAAGAAAAATCTATAACTACACTATTGCACAAATGCATAGGGTAGTTGTTTATTTTCATAGGTCAGCCTCCTACGGAACGTGTCACAACAACATGCTCGGGCAATATTCACTTCAGCGTTCACCTTGGCCTCTCTGGTGGGACCCTCGGGAGGTGGACTTCTTCCATGGTTTGTTTATGAGCCCCACTGCAAAAGCAAACTGCGATTGACACGTTACGAGGTGTTAATGAAAACCACAGACACAACAGCTTGGGACATGGGACTGGACTGCAGCTCCACGGGGGGTTTGCACTCTACGACCAACGCCATATGAGCCTGCGTTTAACCACGATTACACTTGACTTCACTTTGTCCCAGTGTTTAGAAAAAATTTCCTTGAAAAACACTGGACCAGTTTGAGTGACTGTCTTGTTGATGTAACAATAAAATGGTGTGTTGGAAATAGAGATTCATATTGTAGCTGTGCCATTATCAATGTATGATGCTAAAGTCAGGGGTTTTTGTACTCAAGTCTTGCTTCTTCATCACACTAAAGTTGGAGATTTTTGACTTAATATGCTAAAGATAGAGATTTTATACTGCTTCTTCGATGCTAGAGTTTGAGATTTGATTTGATTTTAGTATGGAGTTATTATTAATTTGTCCTGTGGTCCTCATTCCTACTGTCTGTAACTTGTGATACAACACTGAATTTTCCCCACTGAGGGAAGAATAAAGGATCACTTCATCTTAATCTTAATCTTAATCTTAATAAGGATTGCTGAGTGGAGCAGGCCGATATGGGCAGTTGGTTCCTGTCAGACAATAGAAGACTGGATAAACTTTAAAATGTCTTTAAATTACCATCTTGTATGTTTTTGTGTAGTGTGTGGGAGGTTGTGCACATGTGTTTGTGTGTCTGTGTGTGTGTGTGTGTGTGTGTGTGTGTGTGTGTGTGTGTGTGTGTGTGTGTGTGTGTGTGTGTGTGTGTGTGTGTGTGTGTGTGTGTGTGTGTGTATACCTGTAGTCTGGCATTCAGTATAAAAGGTAGCATAAAACATAGCACTGAAAGAAGAAAAGGGTGATAGTTAATTAGTAACCTACAGTTGCGCAGCGATGGCTCTGAACTATTTTTAGGGCTAGCTTGATTTACAGCAGAGAAGCAAAACCAAAACCACTTTAAACAATTGCAACAAGCAGTGGAATGTATAAGTACAGTAAGTTAGCTACATATATACTGTTATATTATATCTAATAGGGACAACACACATTATTGAACAATCATATGTACTTTGTACAATTTACGATGGAAATACCCAGATATAATATACAGTATATTTTATTATTGTTTATCAAAATTGCATGACCAATGCAGTTGGTTACTATGGAAACACGAAATGCTAATACCCTGTCATATATTAGAAATATTTCTATTTTACAATTTTTCAGCACAAACATAGTGTTCCACTTCTATTTTCCATTTCTCACACATGAATGTTCCTTAAAGTGCATTTCTCAACTGTCCTGATGGTGGACCTGCTTTGCCAAAAGTGGGCATTGGAGTCAAGCATGTGAAAAAAGTATGTATCCACCAAAATTATCCATCTTTGAAGAATGTTGTGTTTTCAAGATAAGTACGCTAATTACATACAATCACAAAAAGCAGATATAGGACCGCTTCACCAAAGAGGGGACACCACCCCAGGGCAGCTGCACCTTTAAGTATATGATAAATAAAATATAGAAGTTAATACATTCAATTTATTTATTTATTTTTCAAATTAAATAACACACAAGAGTAACTGTATTTGTATATGTTTTTTAGAAAGTACACTTTGAGCTGACCAAGTGTGAAAACAGAATAACCCCTTTCATATTGTGTTTTATTGATTTATTTATTTAATAACAACAGTGGTGAGGTGTCAGTCAAAAGCAGCTTCAATTATGTTTTTATCTCAAACGTCCAAACACTCCCCAGTGTCCTAGCATATTGAAGGAAGCCCCGTATTTGTGACAGTTGCAGCGTGTTGTGGGTCGCAGTGCAGCGTAGCCTTGACTGTGGCTCTGTCTGTGTGAATGATAATGTGACAGGTATCAGCGTCAGACGTGGGGGGGTACCGGGTACACGGGGCCGCTGTGGTCCGCTGCTTTGCTCCAGTCACAACTCTATACCGTAAATAACCATCCACCCAAAAATATAAGATTTCATTTCAGTCACGCCTTACCCAGTCTCGCTCAAAGTGTTATTCACTATGTCAAACAGAAGGGAAAAATCTTCTGGTGCTAGAAGCGAGAATTAAACCAGGGGCATATTTATAATTTGTATTTATTAATTTATTTCGAACCTGCACAATACTATATAACAGACAAATACAGTGCCTTGTGAAAATATTCGGCCCCCTTGAACCTTTCAACATTTTGCCACATTTCAGGCTTCAAACATAAAGATATAAAATTTTAATTTTTTGTCATGAATCAACAACAAGTGGGACACAATCGTGAAGTGGAACGAAATTTATTGGATAATTTAAACTTAAAAAAAAATAAAAAACTGAAAAGTGGGGCGTGCAATATTATTCGGCCCCTTTACTTTCAGTGCAGCAAACTCAGTCCAGAAGTTCGGTGAGGATCTTTGAATGATCCAATGTTGTCCTAAATGACTGATGATGATAAATAGAATGCCCCTGTGTGTAATCAAGTCTCCGTATAAATGCATCTGCTCTTTGATAGTCTCAGGGTTCTGTTTAAAGCACAGAGAGAACCATGAAGACAAAGGAACACACCAGGCAGGTCCGAGATACTGTTGTGGAGAAGTTTAAAGCCTGATTTGGATACAAAAAGATTTCCCAAGCTTTAAACATCTCAAGGAGCAATTATATTGAAATGGAAGGAGTATCAGACCACTGCAAATCTACCAAGACCCGGCCGTCCCTCCAAACTTTCATCTCAAACAAGGAGAAGACTGATCAAAGATGCAGCAACGAGGCCCATGATCACTCTGGATGAACTGCAGATAACTACAGCTGAGGTGGGAGAGTCTGTCCATAGGACAACAATCAGTCGTGCACTGCACAAATCTGGCCTTTATGGAAGAGTGGCCATTTCTCAAAGATATCCAATAAAAGTCTCTTAAATTTTGCCACAAGCCACCTGGGAGACACACCAAACATGTGGAAGAAGGTGCTCTGGTCAGATAAAACCAAAATTGAACTTTTTAGCCACAACGCAAAACGATATGTTTGGCATAAAAGCAACACAGCTCATCACCCTGAACACACCATCCCCACCTCAGCTGTAGTTATCTGCAGTTCCTCCAGAGTGATCATGGGCCTCTTGGCTGCATCTCTGATCAGTCTTCTCCTTGTTTGAGATGAAAGTTTGGAGGGACGGCCGGGTCTTGGTAGATTTGCAGTGGTCTGATACTCCTTCCATTTCAATATAATTGCTTGCACAGTGCTCCTTGAGATGTTTAAAGCTTGGGAAATCTTTTTGTATCGAAATCCGGCTTTAAACTTCTCCACAACAGTATCTCGGACCTGCCTGGTGTGTTCCTTTGTCTTCATGGTTCTCTCTGCGCTTTAAACAGAACCCTGAGACTATCAAAGAGCAGGTGCATTTATACAGAGACTTGTTTACACACAGGTGCATTCTATTTATCATCATCAGTCATTTAGGACAACATTGGATCATTCAAAGATCCTCACTGAACTTCTGGAGTGAGTTTGCTGCACTGAAAGTAAAGGGGCCGAATAATATTGCACGCCCCACTTTTCAGTTTTTTATTTGTTAAAAAACTTTAAATTATCCAACAAATTTCATTCCATTTCACGATTATGTCCCACTTGTTGTTGATTCATGACAAAAAATTAAAATTTTATATCTATATGTTTGAAGCCTGAAATGTGGCGAAATGTTGAAAGGTTCAAGGGGGCCGAATACTTTCGCAAGGCACTGTAAACTTGTACCTGGTTTAAAATTAATAATAGAATGATTATATATATATGGACGCTCAAAGAGGCTTCACATAGACTTTAAAACAGCTCTGCTTGTTTCAAGTCTCTCCATGGCCTCGCACCAAAATATATTAATGACATGTTAGTCCCATACGAACCAAGCCGGACTCTGAGGAGCACAGGGACTGGACTCCTGTTAGTGCCCAGAGTCCGAACTAAACATGGGGAGGCTGCTTTTCAGATTCATGCTGCTAAAATCTGGAACAGTCCTCCTGAAGATGTGAGACAGGCCTCCTCTCTGACAATGTTTAAAACCAGGTTAAAAACGGTGCTGTTTAGCTGTGCATACAACTGAGGGATTTTATATTTTTATCTTTCTTTTTAATGTACTGTGATTATTTATGATTTTAATGCTTTCTTATTTTGTTCAGCACTTTGAGTTGCCTTGTGTATGAATTGTGCTATATAAATAAACTTGCCTTGCCTTGCCATGTCATTATTCTTTCACTCCATACACAGCTGCCCTGGAGCACACTGAAAGAAGCGAGGCAACCAGTATGTACCATCGGCTCCTCCGACCACCACCAACCATTTACACACACTCCAGACTCAATTTAGGCAATGTGGGTGAAGTGTCTTGCCTAAGGACACAACAGCAGTTTGGCACTTTACAGCCGCAACCGCCACTCTGAGGCATCTGGTGTTCCTAGAGGTTGTTGAGGAAGTGTCTTGCCAACGACACAACAACACCGGACATCAGTGGGAGTCGGTGAAGAAAGCCCTCGTGGTGGGCTCGAACCCACGACCTTCAGGCTCAAAGGCCAATTATCTATCAACTGAGCTACTGGTGCCCTAAGATTACACTTCACATTCTAAAACATGAAAAAAGCAAATAGAGAAATTATTGTTTAAAGACACTTAAGATAAAAATAAAACACATATTCAACACATAATAAAACCTGTAAAATGTAAGTATAGTGATCTTATTTGACAGTGCAGTTCTCCAGAAGACCTCTTATAGTCGTCTTTTAATGAATGTATCCCTCCCTGTGTTTAGAGTCAGAGTTCAGGAAACGCTATTTGTAATTACAGCGTCCTCTTCAGTCCCATCTCCGTCTGTCTGTCACTGAAAAGCCTGCAGCTGCCACCACACATTACACAAGGCTCTGTTTAAACCCCACACCGCATCATTTCACTCCAGTAGTCATGTACGTTGATTACCTGACACAATCTGTGGCTGTAACACTGATGAAATGATGAAATATGCATCCATCCTTATCTTTCCAACTTTGGCGACACATCTCAGTTTTTAATTTAGCCGTCCTCTAAAAAGAGACGGAGCGGGTGCGGCGGTGTTTGAGGCATTTGGTCCCCCGTTCCTTAGATAATGTATTGTTCGTGGTAATTGGAGAAGTATTCATTCAGTGCTTATTTTTTAGTAAAGGATTAGTTTTATCTATATAAGATAAAACTATCTAAGATAAAACTACTCACAGAAAAAATTGTCAATCCTGGAAATGTTTGTCTTTATTTTATTTTGTAATTTATATATTATTTATTTATTTTATTTTATTTATTGTATTTATTTTATTGATTTTATTGATTTTATTGATTTTATTGATTTTATTTATTATATTTATTTTATTTATTTTATTTTATCGATTGTATTTATTATTTTTATTGTATTTATTTTGTTTATTGAGTTGGGACAATGCTCATTCATCAACATCAACATTGATGCTTAAGCGGTAATGTAAATACGCTGGACTTAGCATAACGGCTAAATTTCAGCCGTAGTCCCAAGGCAGGTTTCTAGGTAACACATAGACACGAGAGACTTTAAAACTAATTAAAAAAGAGAACACAGACAGACAAAATCAAAAGCAGCAGTGATTTCGCCATAATAGCTTTTAACAAACATTCCCTGCATCAATAGATTTCTTTGTCTCTGGTATGAAATCTTTGTCCTTCATTTGTGTCTCCTCTGCTTGAGTTCATTACGACTGGCTTTAACTATGGAGATATTGATTTTCTGTGCACAGTATTTGACAACTCGGCCTGACAAAAGCAAAAAGGTCAATAGATTTGAAATTCATCCTGAAAACAACACACAGAACTACAAAAACACAGCGGAGTCAAGTGCTTGAAACTTGGTCCCATCCAATTAACTGAGCTCAAGACCTTTGGATGCAGATTGGAGCAGGTTTTAATTAGCGATATTTCTGAGATTTAGTTACACTCTCAAGGTGTTGATGCTGCGTGGACTTTGGTTCATTATTATTCTGCCCAAAGTCAGAAGAGCGGAAAACGCAAATCACTTTCTTCTTTCATGTTCATAACAAAAATCCTTTTAATAAGCATCATGGGCAAAGTGCATTGGTGAAGAGGTTTGGGTTAGTTTGATTATCAAGCTCAATGCGTCATTAACTTCACACTGGCAAATGTAAGAAAAACCAAAATTGATATTCAAATTTTGTGTATTGCCCAAACTGTATATACAGTATGTATTTATACTTTATATACATGTACAAGGCAGTTTGGCTTATACATGTTTTTAAGGTTATGGCTTTCTCTTCTGCATCCAATGAGTCCTGGAGTGGAACAATTCTCACTTATAATTTGCAGTTCAAGCTATTTAATTGTTGGCCGGCTAATCAAGGCAGGAGTGTGTTTTTTTTTTTAGTTGGAACACATCTAATCTTGCAAATGATGGAATTGCCTAGTTTTAAATGTGTAGTGGGTGAGGATTTGAATGCTGTGAAGGATCCTGCTCTTGATACGCTACAGAGGCACTCCACTGCTTGGCCAATGAGACAGGAGCCATTTATTTATGGTGTATGATGAATCCAGGTCCTCGAGATTATACACATCGATTGGCCTGACATAAATCTTTCTCCAGATGTTATATTTATTTCAATAGGCTGCTTTCAGGACATTTTAAGAGTTTCTCGTTGAAGTCCCACCATGACATGCTAGGTTAAAAACTATAAGATTATGTATTCACTATTTTTCCTCCTTGGTGCTTCAATATTACTTTAATATCTAATGATAATTTCAAAGCTCAATCATTTTTTTACGGGTCTAACACATTTGTGATCATTAATAAATTACTTTGTATCAAATTGTATCCTGTATTCCTCTCATTCCCGCCCTCTTCCTCTTGCTTGCAGGTGCAGAGTCTAACAGTGAGTGCAGTCTGGGCAGCGGTGTGTCCTTGTCTGACAGCAGAGAGTCCTCAGTCCACTCCGAAGCACAGAGGAGCTCCTGCGACAGACTGAGCAGAACCACCAGATCCAGATCCAGGTCCAGGTCCAGTGTCCTCCATCTTGCACAGGAGCAGAGCCAGGATTCCCGCTCTGAGGAGGACCCTGCCCAGAAGAACCAAGAGCTGTCCCCTCCGGAGCTGTGGGGCCTGGTGGGAGAGGAGGAGTAGAAACTAAACATGTACTTACAAATGTACTTACCTCAAAGGGCTGTCGATGCGTCCAAAGAAAGGGAACACGTTGTTTATGTTAGTTTTCAATAATAAGCCTGTTAAAACTGAAACGTGCACTATGTAACATTGTGGTCGAGGGTACATCATACATCCGAAAACTAGCGTAGCAGCAAAGTAACAACAACCAACTCTACAACATGAGTAGAATATGACAGTGGCTCATATGGTTGATAATTGCTAAAATGATTAATTGTTGATGCATTTTTTTATTGTTGAAATGAGAAAAAAAACCTGTTAAATTTCAGTTGTAGTAGTTTTATGAATTCCCAGGGATAACACAATGCAGTACTTGTATCGGTATTCGGTAAGTACTCAAATTAATGTACACATGGTTTTGGAAAAAGTAGTACCGGTGCATCCCAATCTAATATATTCAATTATATGATACCCTTGTAACACCTACTCTTTTATGCCCTTATAAATATCATTTGTTTGTTAAAAAAATTGAAGTAAAAGGGATTTTAATGTTATAGCTGAAAGGCATTGAAAATTACATTGAATACGTACAATGTCTGCCTCTACAAAGATACAAAAAGGGGAGAATTTGTATTATATGTTAGTTATAGTTATTTGAAATCGTTTGGTTCTTGCTCCTAACTAAACGGCAATCATCAAAATAGGGCTTTTTACAGGCTTGATTATCTTTGCCACCATACCTCAAGTATTTCTGTTTTACAAGTGCCTGCCGAACAAAACAATATGCAATTCAATGCAAATGTATTCCCTGGTTACATTCTTATGGTCTTCAGTAATAGATGTCTCTTTAAATGTCCTCCAGTCAGAAAATATGTTATCTCTCTGACTGGATATTGCCAGACTAGAAGCAAATGTCTTTTAGTATTGATTTTAATTGTCATAGTGTTGTGATTCTTCAGTGCGTGCTTTTACAGGATAGAGTATTGCAAATATGCCCAAGTAGTTCCATTGTATAATAAACTTTATTTCCGTCCACTGGGTTTCTTTACACCTTACAAAAACAAATGTAGTTGGATATGGTGATAAGTTTCCTATTGATTTTAGATGATGCAGAGGCCATTGTGGATTAATTAGATAGAATAGTGAGTTAAGTATTATTATCTTGTTTAGCCTCTAGACCTGGGTTATGTAAGTTCTTTTTTTGGGGTTTGTAAGATAATTACTATTCTCAAACGTCTATGCCACTGGACCAAACTAAACTGTCAAGACCAATGAGCGTCTATGGAGCATCTTTTAGACTTGAACAATACCGCGCTGTCACATCTACCTATTGTGCACGTCTGTCCTCTGCACAATATTTACTTGAATCACTGATTGTACACAGTGGACCTCTAGCTTTTGTGTGCTGTAATTTGAAAAGATGTTTGATGTGCCGTTTCCTAAGGCTTGAATGTATTTCGCTGGCTCTGATTCATAAAGACCAGTTTTTACTTCACAATTTGTCCCTGCTTGTTTATTACAGGGTCCAGCGATAATAGTGCTATCTCAAGCCCGTCTTCGTGATGTTGAAAAGTAAAAAATGAAAAGCTTGAATAATTATGGCCCTCCTGTATTCAGCTCGCTGCCTCTTTTCTACAACATCATGATTCGTCTGAGGCCGGCATGACAGCTCCACTGACCATTAATATTCATTTGACAAGGTTTACACCACATCTGCAATCACAGCCACATCTCGCAGATCCATCCCCTCTGCTTTATTTTGCCTTTTGGTTGTTTGTTTGGCTAATCTTTTGTTTTATCTGTCATCTATTGTGGTGTTTTGTCTGAATAATATCAGCGTGCAAATATTCAGATGCATTGTTAAATTGGAGATTTTTGTGATCTACAACCTTTTAATTAAAAATTTTACTGTGACCTTTTTTGCATTGTGGAAATGGCAATTATTTTAACATACATTCAATACAGCAACAGAAAAGGAAATTATTTCTGTTTTCTATATATTTAGTTGACAGCAGGGACATTGCACAGTAAATGTATTGTACGGACCGGACACAGCTTTTAGCTCATTTTGAGCCCTAGTCCCTGGGCAGTGGCAAGGTGACAGCAGATAGATAGATGGATATATAGATACTTTATTGATCCCCTGTAGGAGAAATTCATGTGTCCAGCAGCAGAAGATTCATCCAGTCTGACAGCTGAAGGAACAAAGGATCTCTTGAAACGTTCCGTTCGGCAGCGTAGTGATAGGAGCCTGTTGCTTCAATTACTCCTCTGAGCGGCCATAGTGTCATGCAGAGGGTGTCTGGAGTTGAATGCCCTGCATTAGAGCCCTCATCCTTCTCTCCAGCACAGCTCCCACAGAGTCCACACTTCTCCCCGTCACAGAGACACATTTCCTGATCAGCCTGTCAAGCCAGTTCCTGTCTCTTGAGGTCAAACTGCCGCCCCAACACGTGACCCCAAAGAACACGGCACTAGCTACAACAGACTGGTAACGTATGTAAAAGATATGTGCAGTGAGTAATATGTAAAATATATGTACAGTGAGTAAAATATGTAAAAAAAGATTTACAGTGACCAAAGAAATGTTAAACAGAATAGCTTAATTAGCATCTAAATAACAGATCTAACCACATGAAGAGACAATACATACAACACAATCATTTATATCCCTATCCACACATACTTCCTCCTGCTCATCCAAGCAAGCTGAGAGACAGAGTTGCCCCAATGTGCCCAGAACACATCCCCAGGGAGGCGTCCGATACAAATGCCCAAGCTTGTGGATTGGGAAGTCAGGATGCCTCTGCCTAGACTGCTGCCCTTGCAACACAGCAACGGATGAAGTAGAAGAAAAGGATGGACGGACAGTTATCAACAATCTGCTCAATGACTGCATACCTGATTTCCTTTGAGCCATGTACTTAGACTGTGTAAGCTCCACTCACGCTCATGGCAGAGAGGAAGAATTGCTTTGCCCAAAAATCAGGTCCGTCCAAATGAGATGGTATGTTTGTGTATGCACAGAACACGGTACATTATCAAGTCTGACACCAATGACAGATGAAGCTTTTGATGCATCTGTAATTGTTGTAATGTTGCGTTTGGTTGAAGAAAGTGTGTGCAACGTGTTTCCTTATGGTTCATTTTATTGAAGATGAATTCAGAAGGGCCCACATGTGCTGTACTTGCCCTGTACAATGCCTGTATTCTTAAAAAGTGATCCGGAAGAGTGAAACCTGTACAAACAACACCGTATTCTTTGTAGATGTGTCTCTCAAAGGTCTGCACTTCTTTTATTAATGACTCATATTTCTTAGTATTTAGACAATATAGACTCTTCCACTGCAGTTTTGTTGAGGTTGGAAACGTAAAGTCACGGTCAAGATATAGTCATCAAAGTGATCAACTTAAACTTTTAGATGATTTTAGTTTTCTCCGTTTCATTAACCTATCCAAAGATGGTCTAAGAATGGTCCACGCCTAGAGCTTAATTTATATATTCCTGAGTTTATGAGGTGAATTTCCACTCATATTTGCTAATTATTTTGTTTTTCTATTCCATTCAATCCTTGGTATTCTTGGTCTATTTCAATCATGAATCCTCAGGCCTCCAAGCACACCTCTCAGCTGACATTTTAGATCAATATTCACAATTACATGTTCAGATATGATTAAAAAAAACATAGATTACATCAGGGTCTCTTTCAAAGATGATTTTAAATTATTTGCAAAACCAAAAGCACGACCGCTCAAAGACCTAAAAATAGCAGAATAAACACGTTCAAATCAATATCCCAAACCTCAAAGGACCAGTTCACACTCCACCACTTCCTTCTGCATGAGCTGCTGTGGTTTAGGGAAGTTAAACTTTGGCAAAGTTCCATTTGGCACCATTTAACTCCAGTCCCATCTTTTTAAATAACCACAGTTCATTAATTTACTCCATTCTCCTGAGTTTGCGGAACAAGGACGATCTATACAGTTTGCTTTGTTTATGTTTTTAATCTAAATGCTGATTACTCCTGAATAGGTCGTTGGGTCCCGGTGGATAACTTGTAAATGAGATAAACGAGCTTCAAACATAAAGAAGCCGAGATTTCTGAAAGAGAAAAAACGTTAAGAACATTTTGAACAATTGTATGATATGTCCAAAAAGCTCATCATCACAGCTTTATTGTCCTCTACCATGCATCAGAACTGACCATAGATAATGCAGTTCATGTAGCGGAGAAACATCTGCATTCTGAAAAAATTCACAGCAGAGATGAGGTAAAACTTATGCATTAATGCCTCTGTAGAGCAGGCCAAACTCAAGCCCCGGGCCAAAGACAATATTTAGTGGCCCCTGAAAGGATTTTTGATTTTCATTACTTCGGCATGTTGTGCTTCATTTTAAAGCTTTCCCAGGAAGATGACAATACAAAGCTGCTCTAAAAATGTAACTAAATATAAGTTGAGTTTGGCCAAAGATATATGTTTTATAGTTAATTATCAGTCCTCTCCTACATCTCTTATTTATACTTGACACAGAATAATAAACAATAATATTCAAACCTATATAAAATCTTGTTGTATTTTGACAATAATATAGTGTCAAGAAAGGAAATCAAAAGGTCCATACTGGCATGGGAATCAAACTTGCAACTTTCATGCTGCAAACAGATGCACGACATATGTATTTATGTCATTATCATACGTTGACCCGATTCTTCACATTTCAGTCAATCACATTTGATTTATAGGGGGGAGACAGTAGCTCAGTTGGTAGAGCAATGGCCTTTGGGCCTGAAGGTCGTGGGTTCAAGCCCACCATAAGACCTACTTCACAACTCCCACTGATGACTGCTGTTGTTGTGTCCTTGGGCAAGACACTTAACCCCACTTTGCCTGATCAGATCAGCCTGAAAGATCTCAGCTCCTGTGGACTCACCACCTGCAGGAGGATCAGTGAGGGGCTGGTGCTCTGTGTACTGGGTGCAGCTCTGACTGCCACCCCCCTGACCCAGAAATGGATTAAG